ACCAGAGCCTCAGCACCCTGCCTCCTGGATGTTGTTTGGCTGTGGTCTCTGCACACTAGCTCCCCTCCTCAAAGAGGCTGCACATCATAGCTCTGCCAGGTCCCTGGGGGTCACATGTGGGTAGGGGCTTCCTGCATTGTTGAGGTTGAACACCCACGACTCAAGGGAGGTGAGTCTGGGCTGTGAGCATCTCCAAGGTCTCCAGTGTTGGCCCATCCCCGCTTACCTCCTCCCGGCCTGCAGTGCACCGGTCCAGTCCCTTCTCCTAGCTGTGAGATCTGCCCCCTCTGTAGGTCTGCAGTAGACGAGAGCTTCTGTTCACCTCCTAGGAGAAGCTGGGGGAAGAGCTCTTCTATGGAGGGTCTGCCTGATGCACCTTCTGGGTAGGTGTTAGCATTTCCCAATGTTGGTCTTCCCTTCGTCAGGTGTCCTGAGGGATAAATATGAACACTCACCTTGAGGACCTGGATGTTTGTGGAGTTATATCCCACAAACCATGGAGTGTGGTCCCCAGGATCTCTCATCCTCACAGTGGTTATTGCTGGTCCTATAGAAATTGGTAGGAATTACCCTGAAGGTGTGCCTCCTGAAGCTTCACATCCGTGGGCCGGTCTCACCTGGACTGTGGATTGCCCACCTCTCTGGTTTTGTGCTGGGAGATTCCCTTGAAACGTTAGGACTCTGTTAGGTCCAGGGAAAGTTTGATGTTGAGAATTTCCTTGCTTTAAGGATGGACATGACAGGTTTCATACACACTACCTCTTGATGCAGAAACCAGCAGGTACCAGCTGAGGGTGACCTTGAATTGTGAGTAGAAGGAGAAATCGAATGTCACTAAGAGTGAGAGGAGCCTGGACAGACTTGACTAACATGAAAGACAGGCGTGAAGGACACAGCAGGGCACTCACACTTAGGCTCAGATTCCAAAGCTCTGCCAAGAGGCTGGAATTCAGAAAGTACCACGGTGAGGAGATTGTCATGTCCCTGGTGACCCAGTGCTAGTCTTCTGACAAAACATCTCATGGGGATTCCTGGTTCCAGAGGAAATTTCAGAGGAGCCATTCCCCTCCTCCCTGCCCCTTTCCACGTCTGCATGTGACCGGGAAATGCAGTCATCACGTCTGTACATGTGGGTCACCTGGGGGAGGGGCTGAAAGGTGGGTGTGCTTGTGGACGGGGGTTCACTCTCTCTGGGTACATGAACTGCTGACTCCACCAAGCCTGGAACACCCACATCTGGGCTCCTTGTTTCATTAGCTTGTGATCTTTCTCATTGTTTGGGCTTCCCCGATAGATCAGTTTAATCTTCCCTGAAAGCATGCTCCTTGGGAGAAAAGCTATGACCACCCTAGACAGCATATTCAAAAGTAGAGTCTTTATTTTCCTATGGTTTTTCCAGTAGTCATGTATGGATGTCAGAGTTGGGCCATAAAGAAATCTGAGTGCCAAAGTATTGATGCTTTTGAACTGTGCTGTTGGAGAAGACCCTTGAGAGTCCCTTGGACTGTAAGGAGATCTAACCAGTCAATCCTAAAGGAAATCAGTCCTGAATATTCATTGGAAGGACTGAAAAGAAGCTGAAGCTCCAGTAGTTTCGTCATCTGATGTGAACAACTGACTCATTGGAAAGGACCCTTATGCTGGGAAAGATTGAGGGCAGGAGGAGAAGAGGATGACAGAGGATACCTGGAGAAGGGAAATGCTAACCCCTCCAGTATTCTTCTGTGGAGAATTTCATGGACTGTGTTTTCCACGGGGTCACAAAAGGTCGGACGTGTCTGAGCGACTTTCATGTTCACACTGTTTACTCAAGTTGTCTTTGATTGCTGTTTAATGAGCCTCACACAATTATCGAAAGGTTGCTCTAGTGGTAAAGAACCCACCTGAAAATACAGCAGATGTGAGAGAGATGGGTTTGATCCCTGGGTCGGGAAGATGTCCTGGAGGAGGGCATGCAAACCCACTTTTGCCTGGAAATTCTCATGGACAGAGGCGCCTAATGGGCTACAGTCCATTGGGTGGTAAAGAGTCGGACATGACAGAAGTGACTAGCATGCACGCATTAGGACAAAAGTGATTTAAAAATCAGTAAGTTCCATGAGCTAAAGGGTAGCGTTTGTTCCATGAGACAGTCAGGAGACATGGCTGAACACCAAGAGGGTGCTCACAATGGCTTCTTTATTCATCAGGGAATATTCTGTATATTCCTTAGATGTATTGTGCTCTCTCATTGAAAGATGAGTCCAACAGATGTACAGAACAGACTTTTGGACTCTGTGGGAGAATGCGAGGGTGGGATGTTTCAAGAGAACAGCATCGAAACATGTATATTATCTAGGGTGAAATAGATCACCAGCCCAGGTTGGATGCATGAGACAAGTGCTCGGACCTGGTGCACTGGGAAGACCCAGAGGGATCGGGTAGAGAGGGAGGTGGGAGGGGGGATGGGGATGGGGAATACATGTAAATCCATGGCTGATTCATGTCAATGTATGACAAAAAACACTACAATATTGTTAAGTAATTAGCCTCCAACTAATAAAAATAAATGGAAAAAAAATAAGAAAGACGAGTCCACGTATAAACTTCTGGTGGATCACACCTTAAAAATAAAACTGAGGATATCAAGTAGGGATTGTTTTTACTAGTAAAAGCTTTCCTTTAGTACGTGGCCTCTATCTAACATAGAACTTCCCAAATGACAGAATCTACTGCACCTACTAGAGCCTATCAGTTAGTGAAGGGAAGAATGCCCCGTTGGTGCTCAAAGAGCTGACACCTCACTAATAGCACTAATCATAGTTTCTCCATCGAAATTCAGTGGGACCCCACACCCCAGGTTGATATAGAAAGTGAGTTTGATGACATCACAGACATAGATGCAGGAATACAGGTGACACGAACTTTTCACCTTCCTGCATCTCTGCGTAGTGTCAGCAGACTCAACTTCTATCTCAGGCTGGCGTGGAGGTCCCGCTGCGTCTCCATGGAGAGAACTATGGCTGATGCTGTGAGTGAAGTGTCAGTTCAGTTCGCACCACCAAGGTGGTGGTGTTGGCGGGGGGGATTCTTCCTGGCTCTGGGTTTACACACCTCTGTTGTCTGAGCCCAGCATGCACCTACACTGCTGACCGCTGGCTAGCTCTTTCCCTGGCCCTGCTGTGCTGAGCCGCACTGCTGAGTCACGCAGAGCCTCTCCTGTGGACTCAGCCAGCTTACACCAAATGTCCAGAGAACAGACATAAGTGACAAGAGGAAGCAACCCTAAGAGACTGTGCCTTTCATGCAGTGAGGATGTGGTCTCCTCTCCCAACACACCATTCTGCCTCAGAGGCTGAGTAGGCACCTACAGAGTCATGAACGCAGAGACGTTCCCCAGGAAAACTGCTACAAGGAGAGGAAGCCCCAGGTCCTGACAGCAGACCAGCTGTCAACCACCATCTGCTCCTGCACCTGCACAACACCATTGTGTGTCCCCAGCACCCGCTCGTGGTCATGGAGGCCCCCGGAGGGTGACTTGGGTCTGGGCTCACACTGACTTCCCCTCACTGTGTCTCTTGCAGAGTGACACACGGCCGTGTCCTCAGTGGTCACAGGGCTCAGCTGCAGGGAGAACTGGTTCTTGGATGTGTCCCTGCAGATGGAGGTGTGGTTCTTGATGGAGGGGCTGTAGTGAGTGTTACCATTATAATATATGCACCGCATCCATGCTAGCCTCTTTGCTGGGGCCTGGTGGATCCAGTTCCCACCATAACCACTGGTGATGAAGTAACCAGAGATGGCGCAGGTGAAGGAGAGGGTCAGTGAGGGCCTCAGCATTCTGGGCCCGACTCCTGCAGCTGCACTGGGACAGGTCACCTGGGAACAAGGAGAGTCAGTACCTGTCAGTGACCTGCAGTCACAACCATCCCCACAGACCAGTGCCTGAACCTGAGACCCTCACCTTGGGGAGCTGTCACCAGGCAGAGGAGAAGACCCCACAACCTCATCTTCTGCACCACAGCTGTGCCTTCCATGAGACCTCAGCCTTGTGTGAGCAGAGAGAGTTGAGCTCCCACCGCCCAGGGATGGATTTTCCCCTGGAGCTTGAAGAGGAATTTGCATTGAGGAGCTCTATCCCTGTGAGTCCAGAGAGGCTGTGGTCACACTCACCCTGGTCATCCCAGGATCCCCATGGGCACTCTATGAATTTACATGGTTGGAAAGCAAGGGTGGGAAAACACTGGGTCTACCAGATGGCTTGGAACCAGATCCAAGGGCAGGTCCCCCTGTCTGAGCCCAGAGTCTCCATCCCGACGGCCCCCTGCCCCTCCCCATCTCAGCTCAGCTCCTCGTCCTCTCAGGCCGTGGGTCTTCCTCAGGGCTGAGCCCAGCACAGCTCCTGCTTCCTTACTCTGCACCAGTGACGGCCACTGTGATGGGAGTGGGCACAGAGGGTGGTGGGCTCCATGCTCACCCCACGGACAAATCCTCCTGAGGAGCTCTGTATCTCCCCTTATGAATGATCCGGACAGAAGCTCAGAATGGGGTGTGGGCTTCAGGTAGGTAACAGTTTTGAAATGAACGTCAGAGTCAAGTGTTTTACTGAGTTCCTTAGAAAGGAGAAAAATGAAGGAGAAAAAAATTTAGCTGCTGACTATTACGTTTGTGTGTTTGTGTGTGTGTGTTTGCATAAAGCTATCCTTACTTCAAGGAAAAATTAAAATATATATACACACACAGTTGTCAGAGAGTGACATAAACCACAGCAATGAAATCTCAGGACACGTGAGAGGGTCTGTGGCTTAGCTCCTGGGCAGGAGCAGTAAAGAGCAGGTTCTGAAGAGAATCCCCTCCAGGCCGTCCAGCCCCCAACGCCTCTTCCGCCCCTGCGCCTGGGCTCGGCTTTCTACCGAGTCCCGAGCGCCCCCTGGTGGTCCTGGGCGCCCATGCAGGGAGGTTTTTGTCTGGGCTCGCTCTGACTTCCCCTCACTGTGTCTCTTGCACAGTAATACACGGCCGTGTCCTCAGGTGTCACGCTGCTCAGTGAGAGGGAGACTTGGCTCTTGGAGGTGTCCCTGGTGATGCTGAGCCGGGATTTCAGGGCTGGGTTATAGTATGTACTTCCACCACCATATATGATACCAACCCACTCCAGCGCCTTCCCTGGAGCCTGGCGGACCCAGCTTACACCATAGCTGCTTAGTGAGAATCCAGAGACAGCGCAGGTGAGGGAGAGGGTCTGTGAGGGCTTCACCAGGCTGGGTCCCGACTCCCGCAGCTGCACCTGGGACAGGACCCCTGTGGACAGAGAGAAGCACGGTGACTCACGGGCTCAGATGCAGCTTCCCCACGTGCCCATGTCTGATCCAGAGACACTCACCGCTGGGAGCTGACAGCAGGAAGAGGAAGGTCCACAGTGGGCTCATCTTCGAGCAGATGAGAGTCACCGCTCCCGGAAATCTCTTCAAGCCTGAGGAGGAGCCTGAATTTAAGTGACCTGGCGCTTTGTTTCCACCCTGTGACCTGAGTGGATCTTTGCATGTGGGAGGGGCCTCTGCATAAAAAGCAGAAAGTAGTGAAAGGAGGTCCTGTCTATGGACCTCGCCCCGTGAGGAGGGTTCTGACCGTGCCCTCAGAGAGCTCAGCCCGCTCCTGGGGCCCCCCTCCCCATGCCAAGAAGACTGTCGAGGAATGAAATCATTTGAAGGGCTGGTCAGGAAAAAAGATGCTGTCAGGGAGCAATGCCAAATTTTGGGAAGAGACTTTAATCCCATGAAGGTGTTTACCTTTCCTCAACAAATGCCCACCACACATTCAGGTACCAGCCATTTGTTAGACACAAACTCCTATTTTTTTTTTCTTTTCTGATTAGCTTATGTTTACTTACTCCATATGCAAACATCAGAGAAAAATATACTTGCAATAATCACACTGAATTCAAATGGAGATGGGTCCAACTTAATGTTTATCAGAATTCCTGAAGAATTTATATTTCCCTTAGCTTTCATGACTGTTTTTTCATCTTGAACAGCTTAAATAACCTCAAGAACCACTCTAGAGGTGGTTTGTTCACAGTAATTAAACAGCATTAATTTTGTGGACAAAGTAGATGTTTCTGCTGAGAAGCTCATCTTCCCAGCTTGGCTGAGTTGCCCAGTGGCCTTTTGTCCATTTCCCTGTTTAGAACAGAGTGTCTGGAGGAAGAACCTCAGGACCCCCACCCTGAGGGTGGACACTGAGGACCCCAAGGCTACCAAGGACTGAGGACAGACAGCGCCCGGGAGCTCCTCAGTGCTCAGCTCCCCTGTCTCCCCGTGGCCCTGAGGCTGTGGCCTTGAACCTGCATTCCGGCTGTGAGCATGTAGACTGGGGATGACGGCCGTCACCAAGTGTCTGGACTTTACACTGGGTTTTCCAGGGGTGGTGAGTGCTGTCTTCAGTGGTGTTATCTCTCCCGGAGCCAGAAAAGACCGGTGTGGGTCCCCATCTCTGACTGACACCCTGTCCGTGTGACCCTCGCCTTCTCCTGCCCTGAGACCTCACCCCTTCGCGTCTGGGGCAGGTCAGCTCTTCCTCGGCACAGGGATCTCACCTGGACACTGACTGAGGTAGAACCTACTGTCTATGAAAAGCCCTTTCTGGTCTGGCTTTGGCGATAGCAGTTCTGCACCAGCATGTCTTCTGTACCAGATCCTGTTTCCCGACACCTGAATGTGCTCTGGGGAGAGGTCCCAGCTCACTCTGCCTCAGTTTGTGGGACCAAATGTCCCAGATGGTATGCACCATCATCAGGACTCCTGAGGGTGACCCTGGAACTGTGGGCCTCTGGCATCCCAGTCACTGAGCTTCTAGATGTGTCCTCATCCCTCAGCTCAACACCTTCGTCCATCATCAAAGCCAGTGGGGCCTTGTGTGCATCACCTAACAGGCTTTCCTCTCCTCCACTTTCTCTGATCTTGTGATCCCATTGGACCACCTGTAAAATCCAAACATGGTTCTCATCTCATGGGACTGGAAGACGGCAGACCAGATACCCAAATCCATTGCCAGTTGGTCTATTATGGGGTTTAAGTTTATGGCATTAGAAGTGGGATCCAGAGAATTCCCAACAACTCCCCAGCCATGAGCAGTCAGATGCTGGTACCCACTCTGTCCTGTTGAGTTCAGTGCTCTCTGGATGAGTGTGGTCTAGTAGTTTTTGTGTGGAGTCTTTAGGGTTTTCTATCTACAGTGTTGTCTTCTGCATACAATGACAATTTTAGCTCTAGTGGTAAAGAATCTGCTTGCAATGCTGGAGACCTGGGTTCAGTCCCTGAGTGGGGAAGATTCCCTGGAGTAGGAAATGGCAACCCACTCCAGTATTCTTGCTTAGAAAGGACAGAGGAGCCTGGCAGGCTACAGTCCATGGATGGGGTCGCAAAGAGTAGGACATGACTGACAGACTAACTGTCTCTAAAATCCATGACAGCTCAGCAGTTCTATGTGGAAAGTTGACAGTGATACCAACCTTCTTCAAAAAAAAAAAAAAAACTGGAAGTAAACACCTAACTTACTATCTAAAGTAATTAGAAAACAAAGATCAAAGAAGCCCAGAGGCAGTAGGAAGAAGTAAATTTTAAAAAGTGGAGAGATTAATGATATTGAGATGAACACACACACACAAAACAGCAAAAAAGTTCAGTAAAATCAAGAGCTGGTTTGTTGTTGTAGTGGTTGTCATTTTTAAATGGCAAAGAAAATCATAAATCTTTAGCCAGGCTCCCATGAAGGAAAAAGAAGTTACTGGAATAAAATAAGAAATAGAAGAAGATACATAAAGCTAATACCACAGAGGTATAAAAAATCATATGAGACTATTACAAACAGTTGTATGCCAACAAATTGGATAACCTAGAAGAAATGGACAAATTCCTACACTATAAGACCTGCAAGACTGAGTCAAGATGGAAGAGACAGCTTGAACAGACTAATCATTTGTGTCTAAACTGAATTTTATAATAATAATTTAAAAATTTTTCTTGAGCAACAGTCTAGGAAAAGAAAGTTTCTCTAGGGACTTCTACAAGACATACCTTGATGAATTTAAATGCAGTACTCCTCATAAACTATTAATAAATCAAATTCAGCAATGAACAGAAAGGATCATGCACCATCCTCAATCGTTTTTTACTCGAGGGTCATGGCAATGGTTCAAGATCCCAGCAGCAGGAAACAGGCTGGTGAAAGTGCTCAGCTTCAAACATGCACCACCTTCCACAGCAAGGAATGAAAAGTAAGGGGCCAGATCAATAGGCCCAGAGGCTGGAACAGGAGCCAAAGAAGATTGTTCCCAGACCTTGAACTTAGTAGGGTTTACGTGGATGGACTTAAACACTGTCGGGGTCAGTGGGGCTTCCCTTGTGGCTCAGCAGTGAAGAATCCGCTTGCAGTGAAGGAAATGCAGGAGACTTGGGTTCAGTCCCTGGGTCGGGAAGATCCCCTGGAGGAGGAAATACCAACCCGCTCCAGTATTCTTGGCCTGGAGAGTCCCATGGACAGAGCAGCTTGGCAGCCTACAGTCCATAGGGCCACAAAGAGTCAGACACAACGGCAGGGACTGAGCTCACGTGCACACTGGGACCAGGGGTCCCTTCTGACTTACATGCATCCTTTTTACGGAGTGAAACTCCTTGTAGCTGACATATGCCTGTCTTAGTGCTGTATTTGAGAACACAATTCCTCACGCATAGCTGAGTTAGAGGACTAGATTCGGGACTTCCGGTTGATGGTATTTAGACCACCTTTGCTCTGTAATCTTTATTATAATTGACATTATAATTTAGTGTCAATTCTTAGGTTGACATTTTGGAGGCTTTCTGGGATTTGCTAAGTGTAATGGGCCTGTGGAATGGATGTATTTGCAGGGCTGAAGGTGGACTGTGTTTGTCTGAATCATTCGTTGAGTCTATGAATGTCATCTCACATGGCATAAGGGACTTGGGAAAATGTGACTAAGTTAGAGGCCTTGAGACCCTGGATTTTCCTGGATTGTCATGTGGCGCCAGTTGAATCCACAACCATGCTCATCAGAGGGAGGCAAGGGCATCAGACCCTGGGAGAAGTGACCACTGATGGAGGGTGCTTTGCTGGGCTGTGCAGATGAAGGAAGTGGCTGAGAGCCAGGGATGCAGGCAGTGAAGCTCTAGACAGGACACGGCAACGAAGCAGACTGTCCCTGACTTTATCCATTCAGGGGGCATGACAGGAGCTCAGGTGGGGTGGTCTGTAAACAAGCCTTTATTTCCCACACTCCTGGAAGCTGCAAGCCCCAGGTCAGGACACCAGTGAGGCTGCCTTCTGGTGAGGGCCCCCTTCCTGCTTCACACCAGGCACCTTCCTTCTGGGTCCCCACCTGGTGGACGGGGACAGGCATGTTCTCTGGGGCTTCTTAGAAAGACTCCAACCCCATTCATGAGGGACTCCACTCTCATGACCTAAGCACCCGCCTAGGACCCCGATTCTAACATCATTATCCTAGGAATTCCAAACATGAATTCTGGGAGCACAGAAGCATTCAGACCCTGAGAGCCCTGGGCCTGTGGTCCTGCCACACCTGGATTCCAATCCAGTGAAACTGTTATCATACACGGGACTGTGGACTGGAATGGAATACGTGTGCTTTATTTGAGCCACGTGTGTGTGGGAACCTGACACAATGGTCAGCAGCGTAATAAAGGCCAGGACGTGAGTCTCATGTCACCCAGTGTCTCCCACATGGCGCCCTCTTACAAGGTGACCACAATCACTGCCCCTGGGGACGGGGCGCTGCAGGCCGGGGTCCGGGAGGAACCATGTGCTGCCACAGACTGAGCGGGACCTATGCACGTGTCGACCCTGAGTCTGTAGCCCTGCTCGTGGTGTCTGACCGGATGCCACGTGTGGGCTGCTTGGCAGAGCCTGGGAAATAGAAATTCATCCTTGGGGTGATGAAGTTTTAAAAATATGATGACAGTTTTAAAAATAAAGAGCGAATCACAGAACTAGCCAGGAGACTCTATAGAACAAGAATCCCATACTTGACATTAACTAAATATTCCCAGATAATGTCTCACCTAACATTCCCAAGAAAAATGAGGCTCTCAATACCCCAGCTGAAAATGTAATAAAAATCCACAACCCTCTGGAGGGAAATTTATATCTCATATCTTTCTTTCATATATTTGTTATCTTGAGAACTCTCTTCAAAACACATGTCCCACAAGAGCATTATCTGTTCTCTCAGATTCCGGACTCTTGGTGACGAGAAGTCAGGAGAGCCAACATGTCTCTCCTCTCCCAGCACAGCCGCCCTGCCCCTCAGGGTTTCTGACACCCTCAGGATGTGTGTGTTCACGCTGTGTGTCTCAGACAGTAATAAACAGTCGTGTCCTCAGACCTCAGACTGCTCAGCTCCACGCAGGCGGTGCTGGCGGACGTGTCTGCAGCCAGCGTGACTCTGCCCTGGAACTTCTG